CTTTGGAGGTTTGCAAGGCCTTAAAAAAAAGTCTTTTTTTTTTTTAAGATTTTATTTATTTATTCCTAAGAGACACACAGAGAGAGGCAGAGACACAGGCAGAGGGAGAAGCAGGCTTCCTGCGGGGAGCCGATGTGGGACTCGATCCCGGGACCCAGGATCATGACCTGAGCCCAAGGCAGACGCTTAACCGTTGAGCCCCCCAAGTGTCCCGAAGGAGGTCTTTGCTTAGGTGTTTGTTCAGTGTCTTTTTGCAGCTCCTGTTTTTCATTTCTGATTTGGTATCTCAAAAAAGGACAGGTCTGTACATTAACGTACACAGCAGCTTTATTTGCAATACCAAAAAACTGGGATGAGCCCACATGTCCTTCGACAGGGGAGTGGTGGAACACACGGGCACAACAATCTGAAAGAACAAAATACGGGAAAAAAAAAACACCAAAATATGGAGCAACCTGGGGGCTCCCTGGGGGAGTGCACGGGCGCATATAAAGGCACTCCCCGACGGCTGCAGGCATCTTGTACAGCTCCAGCGACAGAGCTTTATGGAAACAGTATTTTTAGAAATGGTGGGCAAGGGACGCCTGGGTGGCTCAGTGGTTGAGCATCTGCCTTCAGGTTAGGTCATTATCCCAGGGTCCTGGGATCAAGCCCCGTGTGGGGCTCCCTGGTAGGTAGAGGGTCTGCTTCTCCCTCTGCCTTTACTCCACCCGCCCTCATGCTAGAGCTCTCTCGCTTGCTCTCTCTCTCAAATAAATAAAATCTTAAAAAATAAAAAGTGACATCTATAGGGGCACCCAGCTGGTTCAGTTAGAGGAGTGTGTGACTCTTGATCTCAAGGGTCGTGAGTTTAAGCCCCAGGTTCGGCTCAGGGATTACTTACTTAGGATGCCTGGGTGGCTCAGTGGTTGAGCATCTGCCTTCAGCTCAGGTGATCCCAGTCCTGGGATCGAGTCCCATGTCGGGCTCCCTGCACGGAGCCTACTTCTCCCTCTGCCTGTGTCTCTGCCTCTCTCTGTGTGTCTCTCATGAATAAATAAAATCTTTTAAAAAAATGACATCTAGAGAAAAGCTAACACTTAATGTCTTTTCTCTGTGCATTTATATTTGCGTATGTATTTATGTTTGAAAGTCAGTTGATGATATCCTGGCACTTTCCAAATAATTCATCAGCTCCTGCTAAGAACCAGGACCTTCTCTTAGTGCTCTGTAACCCATCCCTGCACCCAACGGGCATGCAGTCATGGATACAATGACATTATCTAACACAGGCTTCACTGTAGCACTGCCCTTGTCCCAAAATGGTCCTTTACAGCTGGTTGTCACATTGCCTTTGGTCGTCACATCTGCTTGTGTTCCTTTAATCCACAACAGACGCTCCATCTTTTGTTTTGCTTGTTTTAATTTTTCATGACACTCGCATTTTGTGACAAACCCAGACCCATTTTCTCTAGACTGTTCCATAGTCTGGATCTGCCTTCTGGGGCTAAACGTTCAGAGCAGCGAGGCAGGGCAGGCGACAGCCCATTGGGAGATCTAGGACATCGACTTGTCCTGTGAATGGGCAGTGAATTCTGGACCCTTGGTCCAAGTGAGTCTGCCAGATTCCTCCATGGCTAGGTCCTTTGTGGAGTGAACAAGCCATGTGGGGGCAATTTTTTGACACTGTAAATATGTTTTTTCCAAAAGCCATTTACCCAGGGTGTTAGCCTCCCATGAATGGCTGTTGTCTGAATCCTTCATTACATTTATGATTGCAAAGTCATGACTTTCTAACTTTACCAATTCCTTTACATGTAACAGGCATTTTGTGGTCAAGAAATGCTTCCTCTCCATTAAAAAAAACAACTTGAAAGATTTTATTTATTTATTCATGAGAGACACACAGAGAGAGAGAGAGAGAGAGAGAGAGAGAGAGAGGCAGAGACACAGGCAGAGGGAGAAGCAGGCTCCATGCAGGGAGCCCGATGTGGGACGCGATTGCAGGTCTCTAGGATCAGGCCCAGGGCTGAAGGCAGCGCTAAACCACTGCGCCACCTGGGCTGCCCAAAACTTTTTTTTTTAAGATTTTATTTATTGGGATGCCTGGGTGGCTCAGCAGTTGGGCATCTGCCTTTGGCTTGGGGCATGATCCCAGGGTCCCAGGAAAAGAAAGATTTTATTTATTTTAAAGATTTTATTTATTTATTCATGAGAGACACACATAGAGAGGCAGAGACACAGGCAGAGGGAGAAGCAGGCTCCCTGCAGGAAGCCCAATGTGGGACTTGATCCCAAGACCCTGACATCACAACCTGAGCCAAAGGCAGATGCCCAACCGCTGACCCACCCAGATGCCCCCCAAAAAAATACTTAAATGTTAATATGAACAAAAATGTTAATATGAATTCATAGATTTTTTTTCCTTCATTTATTCTTTTTGATGCTCAAACTGATCAAAATTTGGCCAATGAGACCCCCTTCAAGCTGGCTCCTATGGGAGAGGGTGATTTTTATTTTTATATTACTTTAAACTTAGAAGAATGTCTCAAGAACAGTACAAGAAACTCCTGTGTCCTCTTAGACTCAGCAGTTGTAACATATCACCCAGTTGTTTTATCATTGGGAAATCTACCATTGATACCAACCTCTAGCCCGCAGGCACCTTTCTCAGTGACCTCTTCCCTGCATCCCTTTGACCTATTTCCATTATTCTCTGAGTACTTCTTTGCTTCTGTCACTTCAGATGTCCTAGGCTTACCCAGAATGTTCCATCCCAGCCCTGAATCCACCATTTCTCAAGGTAGCCCTAGTCTCCAAAAGAGGGGAACGGGTTTTAGAAACCAAGGCCTGGAGCTGAGTGTGCTCAGTGCTATGGAGTGAGTGCCCCGGGACAGAGCCAGCATCCTGAACACATTGAATGTCTCTCTCCCCAAACCAGGCCCCGGCCAGATTTTCCTCTTCCCTCATCCCGTATTTGTATTTGGTTGAATCATACGAAATTGCCAACATTCAACCATTTTTGTTCTAAAAAGGAAAGAAAGCAAATCTACATGGTCCAGGCAAATATCCCTTTCTCCACAGTGAGGTTTGTTTTCAGTAACATCAGTATATTTACTAACATTCTCTGTCCCCACATTCCCTCCAAATAGCTTCAGAATTACTACACCAATCTATTGACTACTGACCTACTCATGAAATTTGGAGATCTCTTTGTAGCAATTTTTGTCCTTAGGATATATACCACTAAATAAATACAGATTATTGTGTGGGCACCGGGGTGGCTCCGTTGGTTAAGTGTCTGATTCTTGGTTTCAGCTCAGGTCACAATCTCACAGGTCGTGGGATCAAGCCCTGCTTGAGCTCCACACTCTGTGGGGAGTCCACTTGAGGATTTTCTCCCTCTGCCCCTACCCCCATGTGCAGTGTCTCTGTCTTTCTCTCTCGCTCTCCCTCTCTCCTCCCCCTCCCCTCAAATGAATAAATCTTAAAAAAAAAAAAATACAGGGTACTGTGTTCAAATTTTGTTTGAATCAATTCTCTTTTTCTGTGTAGTTATATTTGTCTGCTACATAGATTCACTTATTTCTGAATCCTGGGGTCTTTTTACATCTTTTTTGATTGAATGTTATATTTGGTTATGCAAAATATTGATTTTGATTCAAATGTTATGAATGTGATTCAAATGTTATAGGTGTAAAACAAGACAGCCAGGGACGCCTGGGTGGCTCAGCGGTTGAGCATCTGCCTTTGGCTCAGGGCGTGATTCCGGAATCCCGGGATCGTGTCCCACATCAGGCTTCCTGCATGGGGCCTGCTTCTCCCTCTGCCTGTGTCTCTGCCTCTCTTTCTCTGTGTCTCTCATGAATAAATAAAAAAATCTTTAAAAAAAAACAAGACAGCCAGAAAGGGTCACTCCCTCTCGGTTCATTCCTACTCACCCCAGAGAAAACCATTTTCTTTTTTTTTTTAATTTCTTAAAATTTATTTATGATAGTCACACAGAGAGAGAGAGAGAGGCAGAGACATAGGCAGAGGGAGAAGCAGGCTCCATGCACCGGGAGCCCGACGTGGGACTCGATCCCGGGTCTCCAGGATCGCGCCCTGGGCCAAAGGCAGGCGCCAAACCCCTGCGCCACCCAGGGATCCCGAACCATTTTCTTTTAGTTCTGGGGTAGTCTTCCTGCGTGTCTGTTTGCAAAGACAAGCAAGTGTGTGCGTCAGAATCCTAAGGAGACACAGGTGTGAATTCTGTCTCTCCCTCCTTCTTGCACAACGGATGGCACAAATTGTGCCCTCGTCTGTTCATTTCCCCGTGGCCCACCTGACCCGCTCTGGGGCCTCTCCCTCCGCGTGCGCTGCATCCAGAGCACCAACTGTCCCGATTGGACGTTTAGGGGACGTCTCAGCGTCTGGGCAGCCGAGGGAGCGGCCACGGCTTGACGTCCTGGCTGCCTGGGTCTCGGTTCACCGCTTGTGGAAGGAGACCAACAGCGGCAGTCAGCACTCGGGAGACGGAGGCTCGGCGCTGCTGACCTACAGACAGCATCACAGGCAGTGGGGGCCCCACAGTGCACCCCCACAGGACCCCAGTCTGGCCAGAAGACCAGGTGGGCGGGTCCCTGCCCAGGCTGCACAAGTCTCTTCAGGGTGGCCCAGTCCAAACCGAATGCTGAGGAAGGAGGTCCGCGAGGGGGGTCCTCTTCCTGGGCCTGCGAGTGCGGCGAAGGCTGTATTTTCCAAAGCAATGATGCTCCAAACTGTGGTCCCATTAAGACCTCGGGCTATATATATTCTGGGTAAGAAGCTCCTGGCTGGCCTGGGAACCGAAGCCCCTATTACCTCAAGGAGCAAGTGGTGGGGGAGGCACAGCCCTGCCCCGTACCACACTTACCATTCGCAAAATGCATTTAACACATACGTATGTATTTAACTGCATTTATATATATACACTTATATGACCGCAGTAACATCGCACTTTTTTTAAAGATTTTATTTATCTATTTACGAGAGACAGAGACACAGGCAGAGGGAGAAGCAGGCTCCATGCAGGGAGCCCGACGTGGGACTCCATCCCGGTCTCCAGGATCAGGCCCTGGGCCGAAGGCAGCACTAAACCCCTGAGCCAACGGGGCTGCCCAACATTGCACTGTAATTTAACCAACCTAATCTACTTTCCAACACAGACCTTTCTAGAAAATACCTGTATTCCCACTAAGGCAGGGATTTCCCATTGCCAAAGAATGAAACACAGGCAACCCCCTCTGCACACGCTGCTCTGGTCCACTTTCTTGTTTTCTCACCTCTGGCGTCCCCCCCACCCCCGGCCCTGGGGACAGCCTGGGGCCAGGGCTCCACAGAGCGGACTGGACGTGGTGGGAGGGAGGCAGAGGCCCAGGCAGGGCAGAGGCCCAGGCAGGTAGGAACCTCAGCTCACCCGGGCACCGGCTACACTGATCTAGTGTGGATGTCACGAAACAAGTGGAGTTTCCAAGCTGCCGCCCTCCTGGCCGCCAGAATAACCCACAACCCGGTGCCGCCCCAGCCGTGGAGGGGGGCCGCGGCTGGGCTGACGGTGCCTCGGGCCCCCCACCGGGCCCGCGACCCTCCGGCGGCACCGCGCAGCAGCAGCCTAGGCAGTGGGCTCCGGGACGACAGGGACCGCTGCCTTCGCTCCGCTCCTTCGGGCCCGTCCTCTGTGCTCCGTCCCAGGCGGTAGCTGGACAGCTGTTCCCAGGATCTGCTTTGCATTAAAGAGTGGTGTGGCCCTTTAAGAGAAGCATCTGCCGCCCCCGCGCCCCACGGCCCCTTTGATGTCGCGCTGAGAGGTTCCCAGCCGGGAGATCTGAGGGCTGCTTTCTGCCTCCCCAGGGGCCACGTGCAGATCACAGGGTGGGAGGGCGGTGGGCCGAAGGTCACATGGCCCGCCTCCCTGGCCTGCAGCCACGACTGCCGCGAGGGGACCGCAGGCCGCGCGGACGGGGACCAGCTGGCCCCGAGCTCATTAGGGTGCGGAGGAGCCAGCAGCTGGGAGGGCCACGGAGGAGCCGTCTGGGGCTCTCCGCACCCGGCCTGGGGCAGCCTGACCTCCCCGACGCCCTCCCTCACCCTGGCGGTGAGGCTCCGCACGGTGGGGACACTCCTGTGATGCCCCAAGAAGCCCTGTCTCCACGGATTTTCAGGAAGTGCCTCCCACCCCATGCCCTTCCTCCTTCCAGCTTTGGAATGTGGACCCTGACCCGTCGGCCCAGGCCAGCCGCTGCCAGCACGCAGGAGGGTCCTTCAGCCAGGACCATCCAGGGACGGGCTGAGGACCCGCGGGGAGGGCACAAGGGGGCAGGGGTGCAGAGAGGCCGGCAGGTCCTGCCAGGCGACCCCGGTGGGATCCAAGGGCTGAGCTTGGGACCAGAGACCCCTCACTGATCCCCTGCTCACTGGCATAGGGCGTAGGGAAGGAAGATCACAGCTGGATGACGGGGTGCAGCCTCCTCCTGCAGCCCTGGGAGCTCTCCCTGCTAAATGAGAGGGTATGGGGTATGTATGGTCTCCCTGTGCCAGGAGACCCCAGGGCTGCTCAGGCCGGGCTGCGAATGGCCACCAGACTCCCAGAAGAGGATATGTCCCCGCTTCAGTCCCAGAAGTATCCATAAGGGCCTCCCGCCCCGACTGCACCAAGCAAGCGGTATTGCTGATCAAAGTCCCAGGATACGAGGCCAAAGGGCATTGCCGAGTGGATGGGGTGGGGGGCTCTGGGGAAACAAAAGGGGGTTCAAATTCTGTGATCGCAGGCTCTGGCTTGGGGTCCCTCCCTGACTCATAGCTAGAGATGGGCTCTTGACCGGCTGGGAGCAGAGCCTCCTCTCAGAGCTGGGGGGAGCGGGATCGTCTGCCCCACTCCTCTTGGGCCTCAGCGGCCAGCAGCGGGGTGCGGTACGGAGCTGCCCAGGTGGCTGCACGTGGTGAGGCGGCCGGGCCGGCAGGCAGCAGCTGGGGCCCAGACGGCGGCCACAGCTGGAACTCAGAAAAGCCCTCCCGTGGAGCCAACCCTGTGTCCAGGCCTTCACGGGGCCCCAGGGGGAACCAGCGTGTGGCACAGGCCGTCCCACATCTGGGCCATAGCACTGAGCCCACCGCTTCTAGATGGCCTGAACCCCCACAGGCCCGGCCCTCTGGTCCCATTACTGGTGTGAGGGGCCCCACACGGGACTCCAGGTGGGACCCCCGCACCGCTGACGGCCCTGCACCGTGCCCGTGCCCTCCCCCTGTCCCCGGTGCCTCCTCCGGCCAGTCTGGGCCCTGGGCCTGCCCTACCTGGGGCCCTCGCTTTTTTTCTGAAATATTCCATCTCTGTTATCCCCAGGATTGGGCACGTGTTCACACGTGGGTCACATGTCAAATGAGTTCTCTGGCTCCCTCCCCCATATCTTCCTCCCCAAGGACCAGCCCTTGCACCCCCAAACCGTATCTGGGGATACCCCTCCTAAAGAAATGGACCCACCCCCCCGGCCAGGTTCCCATTTCCCCAGCTTCCTTGCAGCCGGGCAGATGCCAGATCTAAGCTTAGCCAGAAGCACCCGCTGCCCACCCGAAAGGGAGCCAGGAAGCCGAGAGGTGGGAATAATGCAAAGTCTACTGCATGTGGCAGTGGGCAGGGGGCAGAGAAGGGCGAGCCCCGCGCCCAGCACGTGTGGTGTCCCTGGTCAGGGGGCCACCGCCGCAAGGCGATTTGGGACATTGTTCCTGCTCCTTGTCCCCAAACCTGTCTGTCCTCTAGACAATCCACGAGCCCTTCGTACCCAGGCCCTCGATCTCCCCTGGTCCCGGAGAGATGGCCAGCAGCCACGCCAAAAAACAGCCATCGTGTAGCCCGTGCTCACTGGCCTCTGCAGGTCCTGCGTCATTTCACGTTCCCACAACCCTGGGAGGCAGGTCCTGTTGTCGTCCCCACTCTATAGATTATAAACCTAAAGATCAGAGACCCCGCCACAGGCTGGGGAATCAGGCCCCCTGTCCTGCCGCCATATCCCCCACCGTGTGGGTCCCCCAGACTTCCGTCTAACGAGCAAACGGGGGTGTGCACATCCCACGGCCCAGAATTCCCAGACCTTGGGTGGCCCGCCCTGTTCCAATTCAGGCACTCAGTTTACCTGGCGCACAGCTTCAGTCACCCGGTGTCCTACGTCCAGCCTGGTGACCAACGTGGGTCAGACGCAGCGGCGCTTTGAGGTTTGTTTTTGTTTTTGATTTTGTTTTCAGGAAAAATTTACAGAACATAAAATTTAGAGCGTAGAATTCCATGGCGTTTAGTACCTTCACCAGGTTGCACAATTACCACTACAGTCATTTTGGAACATTCTCATCACCCCAAAAAGAAACCTTGTACCCATTCCCTATTCCTCCCACTGTCTGGCAACCAGCAGTCGGCTGTTTCTGTGGATTACCCACGGTGGACACCCCGCAGAAGTGGGATCGTACACTACGGGGCGCTTTGCCTGCGGCTTCTTTCACTCGGCGTGATGTTCCTAAGCTCACCCGTTTTGGGGCGTGTGTCAGTACTTCGTTCCCTCCTACGTCTGAATACTATTTTATTACGCGCAGCATAGACCACAATTTGTTTATCCGTTCATTTGCTGATGGACATTTGGGTTTTCCACCTGCTGATGCCCGTACACGACGTCGCCACGAACAGTCAAGTACAAGCGTTCGTGGGGACCCCTGCTTTCAATGTTTTTAAGACCACACCCCGGAGTGGGATCACTGGATCATATGTTCTTCTGTACAAACTACTGAGGGGCCAGCAGACCGGCTCCCCGCTCCCCCCGCCCCCCGCGGCTGCCCCATTTTACATTCCCGCCAGCAGCACCCAGGTTCCGGGTTCTCTGCACCCTCGCCGACACCCGTCCTTTCTATTTTTGACCACAGTCATCTTACTGGCTGTGCGGTGGGACCTGACCCATCGCTGCTCAACTGCGGATCTCCCCTCCTCCCACCCGTCACGGCCACGGTGGCCGTCGCTGGGCTGCGTGCGGACAGCCTGGAAGCAGAGGCCCAGGGCCGGGTGGCTGGACAGAGAGGCTGTCCTGGGAGGACCCAGCAGATTCCAGGGGTTGAAAACTCTGAGGAGGAGTATGAGGTGCGGAAGGTAAAGGTGGCCTGGGGCGCGGGGGTGCAAGGACACACCTCCATCTGATGAGCGTGAGCAGCCCACGGCCACACCAGGGTCGGGGCTGCTGCTCTAAAGGAGCAGGACTGGGGAAGGCGGAGACACAGATGGACCGGGAATCTCTGGGGAAAGCGTTTCGATTTTGCTAGTTATGTCGAACAAACCAAAACAGGAACTCATTTCGGTCCAGTACGCAGGCTAAGACACACTAGGGCACACACCGGCGACTATAATATGCGTGCTCTTCCCGTGTCCTGGAATTTCGTTGCCAATCGTGACCGCCATCCCTGCCGCGCACCATGCTGAGCACTTTCACGCATGGGCTCCCGTAATCCCACAAAAGAACCACTGATAGAGGCACGGTCATTACCTCTCTTTAAAGAAGAGGAAACGGAGACACAGACAGAGGTCGCAGGCCTTGCCCTGAATCGCCCAGCCAGGAAATGACTCAGAGCCAGGTGAGTGTGAAGCAAGCACAACCCAAGGTGGTCACGCCATCCGGCTGGAGGTAGCACTTCCCGCCTGGGACTTGGAATTGTAGGCTCCTAGAAGGAGAGGGCTCCTTGGGCAGGTTCTCCCTGAAGCCAGGGTCAGCGGGGGCTGGGTGGGGAGGTTAGACACCTCTGGACGGGACCTAAGTTTGAAGCTACTGCCTCTGGCTGGCCAGTCCTAAGCACAGCCTCTAAACCGACCAACGACAGGGGGACGGCCAGTGTGGACTTCGGGACGAGGAGAGCTCATGGTCAGCTCTTCTGTTAGCTTCTCTGAGTCTCAATTCCCTTCATCTGGAACATGGGCACACGGCTGCCCTGACGGTGCCTGTGGGGAGGACCCGCGCTTGTGACACAGCCCGCCCCCTCCTTAGCTGAATGACCCCAGCCCAGGTCAACCTCCCGGGCACCTCAGACTCATCCTAGGCTTCAAGGGCTCCGCCACAGCATCTCTCACCCCTCAAGTGCCCCAACACCGGCTTGTAAGGACCCTCTGGGGTCTGGAGCGCAGCCAGAGTGGCTGCTGTGTGCGCAGCTCCACGCCCAGCCTCGGGCCTGCCGAGAAGGACAGAGGGTGCTGGGGCCAGCGGCAATCCAGGAGGCTGGGTGGGGAGCTGGGCCAGAGCCCCCGGGGCCGCTGAGCCCCTGCCCCACCAGGGGCTGCCCCACCAGGGGACACCGCCTCCCCACTGCCCTGATTTAGGAGAGGGGCTCAGTGCCCCCCAGTTCTGGATCCCTGTCCCAAAGGCCGGCCGCTCCCTGTCTTTAGCGGGTGTGATGGCGCCGCTGGACCGCCGCGGGGAGGGGTAAGGAGAGTCCTGCGAATGCCGTCCATGGCACTTCGTGGGTGTGCATGGAGGGCGAATAAATGCTCTTTTTCTCTCCCCACCCACCCCGCCTAGCAGCCTCCTAAGCAAACACCTGCCCCCTTCCCGTTTTGATGTCTGCGCTCATCTCGTTCTGTCCTCAGTGAGGAGGTGAGCGGATGGGACGGAGGATCTAGGTCGGGAGGAGGTCACCGAGCTGAGACCAAGCCGCTGCTGCTCCCGGAGCCGGGCCCCGCCCTCCCTGCGACGCCGGGGCAGGGAGAGATTCTGGGGGTCCTTGGGGTGCCGCGCTGACGGGGTCAGGCCGGGGCGCTGCAGGCCCCACCGCAGCCCCACCGGCCGGGTAAGCGGCGGCCCCCACGGGTTCCAGGCCCGCGCAGAGTCTGTGCATCCGGCGCGGGGACCGGCGACTCCCCCGTGGCGCCGCGCAGGTCAGCGAGGGCGCCGGGGACCGCGCCACACCTGTCCGCTCCTCCCGGAGGCCCCTCGGCGCGGGGCCCGTGTCCGCCGTCGCTTTGATCCCGGGGGCCCCGCTGGATAAGAGTCTCGGCGGCTCCGCGCCAGCGCCAGAGGGGGAGCGCAGCCGAGCCGGCGTCCCAGCGGGTGAGCCGAGGAGCCGGGCGCGGGGCAGCGGCGGTGAGCGCGGGGGCGCGGCGGGGAGGGGAGAGGGGAGAGGGGCGGCGGCGCAGGTGGGCGCGGGGGCGCGGCGGGGAGGGGAGAGGGGAGAGGGGCGGCGGCGCAGGTGGGCGCGGGGGCGCGGGGGCGCGGGGGGGGAGGGGAGAGGGGAGAGGGGCCGCGGCGCAGGTGAGCGCAGGGGGCGCGGGGGCGCGGGGGGGGGAGGGGAGAGGGGAGAGGGGCGGCGGCGCAGGTGGGCGCGGGGGGCGCGGCGGGGAGGGGAGAGGGGAGAGGGGAGAGGGGCGGCGGCACAGGTGAGCGCGGGGGCGCGGGGGCGCGGCGGGGAGGGGAGAGGGGAGAGGGGCGGCGGCGCAGGTGAGCGCGGGGGGCGCGCGGGCGCGGGGGCGCGGGCGGGGAGGGGGAGGGGGAGGGGCGGGGGCGCAGGTGAGCGCGGGGGGCGCGGGGGCGCGGGCGGGGAGGGGGAGGGGGAGGGGCGGCGGCGCAGGTGAGCGCGCCCCCCGCGCCCCCGCCCGTCGGCCCGGCCCGGCCCCTGCGCGGCGGCGGAGTCGGGGCGCCGAGGAAGCCCCGCTGGCCGCGCCCCTGCAGCCTCCCGCGGGCGGTGGCGGTGGCGGCGGCGCCGGGCGGGCCGCGGGGCACGGGGCTGCCGGGACGGCGGGGCCGCGCTGCCCCCCACGGAGCCGGCCGGGAGCGCCTCCGGCGGCCGCGGCGGGGTAGGCCAGGCCCCTCCGTCAGGCTTGCGGTTTGGGAAGAAAAGGCGATGCCTCGGCCAAGAAAGGAGCGAGCGCGCCCCCCTCCCCTCCCCTCCCCCTCGGCCGGGCGGCGGCGGCGGCGGCACATCTAAGGCGCGGGCACCCGGGCCGCCGCGGCCCCCGCAAACTACGCCCAGGCTCGGCCCCCGCCGCTCATTGGCGCGGGCCGGAGCCAGCGCTCCCGGACCCTGCGCTGCCCTCGCCCGCCGCGCCGAGCCCCGCCGCCCTCGACGCCGAGCCGGCAGCAGCGCCCCGCGCCCGCGCCCGCCCCGCCCCGCCCCGCCCCGCCCGCGCCCCCGCCCGCCCCCGGCCCCGGCCCGCCCGGCCCCGCCGCCTCAAGGCCGCCCGCTCTCCGCAGGTGGCCGCGGGCCCGAGCGGCGCGGCCATGGGCCGAGGGGTGCGCGCGCTGCTGCTGCTGGGCCTGCTGCACTGGGCCGGGGGCGGCGAGGCCAGGAAGACCTGGCGGCGCCGCGGCCCGCAGCCGCCCCCGCCCCCGCCCCCGCCCCCGCCCCGCGCCGAGGCCGCCCCCGCGGCGGCGCAGCCCGTGGAGAGCTTCCCGCTGGACTTCACGGCCGTGGAGGGCAACATGGACAGCTTCATGGCGCAGGTCAAGAGCCTGGCGCAGTCCCTGTACCCCTGCTCGGCTCAGCAGCTCAACGAGGACCTGCGCCTGCACCTCCTGCTCAACACGTCGGTGACCTGCAACGACGGCAGCCCCGCCGGGTGAGGCCTGCCCCCGCGCCCCGCGCCCCGCGCCCCGCGCCCCGCGCCCCCGCCGGCCGCCCCACCTGGCTGCCCGGCGCCCGCTGCGCCCTCCCTCGGCGCCCCGGCGGAGGGCCCGGCCCTGGGACCCGCGGGGGGGGGGGGCAGCTCGCAGCGCGGGCGGGGGGGGGGCCCTGACCCCTGGGTCGCGGTGCCCGGCCCCTCTGCTAGCGTCCTCGGGGTCTGGGCGGGCAGATGCAGCCCCCGAGCGGAGCGGCCCCGCTCCGGCAGGAGGAGGCGGCCCGGCCGGTGGACAGAGTCCTGCTGTCCCCCCAGTCCCCTCCGCGCTGCCGCCGGGACTGCCTGGGCTCCCAGCCAGCCGGAGGGTCGGGGAAGGGACGGAGGTGGGACAGGAGGACGGGGGAGCGGCGTCCATCCCTCTCCAGCCCCAAAGTGTGCAGAGGAAGGACGCACGCCTGAGGCTCAGGGAGGGCCCCGACGGCTGGAGGACCAGAGGCTGGGTCGAGCCTCGGTGACACCCGAGCCCTCGCACACCCCACTGGCGGGTCAGGCGCTCGCCCCACACACACGTCTAGTGGGGGCCCTTTTCGGGATCCGAGCACCCCAGCGCGTCCCGGGAGATCCCGAGCCCAGCGAAGACCGCCCCGCTCCCGCCCGGCCGCCGGCGCCAGGGTTACAGCGGGTCCCGCGCGGGGCGGGCCGTGGGGATTTTCCACGGACCAAACAGCCCCTCGCGGCCCTTCCCGCCCCGCCAGCGCCACCTCTTGGGACAGTCGCTGCCGGCGGCGCCGCCGCACACAGTCCGCGGGGCCTGGTCGCTGGCGCCCTCGTGCGGCCCACGCTGCCCGGGAGACAGGTGGAACGACCTTTTCCTCCCCCCCCAGCTGGGACCTGCTGACCTCATGCTCCTCCTGTCCCCCCACCCCCCTTGCAGCTACTACCTGAAGGAATCCAAGGGCAGTCGGCGGTGGCTCCTTTTTCTGGAAGGTGCGTCCGGGGAGCCCAGGCGGCGTGGTGGGCGGAGGCCCCTGGGCACAGACGCTGACAGGGTGGCTGTGCCCGCAGGTGGCTGGTACTGCTTCAACCGGGAGAACTGCGACTCCCGCTATGACACCATGAGGCGCCTCATGAGCTCCAGGGACTGGCCGCGCACCCGCACAGGTCAGCAGGTCTCCTCGACTGCCCCGCGCTACCTCCTGGGGGGGCGGGTGGGGCAGGGTGGGGCTCACAGTTCCAAGTTCCCGAAGAACCCCTGCCTTCTGCTTTCTAGAGCCCTGGGGAGCCCCCCACCCAGTTCTCTCCCCCTCCTAAGGTCAGCGGACACCCACTTATCATTCTTCATTCTTATTCCGTGGGTAATCTCGGAGGCTTACCACGGCTGCTCCGCCCAACACTCCTCCCTGGGCCAAGGCAGCCAGTGCAGGGTGGGAGAGGGCGAGGGTCACGTCCGAGTGACTGGCCTGGCCTGCCTGCCTTGTTGTGGCCAAATAAGATGGCCCACATCCCACACGGTCCTGGAGCCCCGGTCGCTGCACAGCCCTTCCCCCCAGAAAGACCCCTGCCTCTGTCCTTCCCCAGGCACCGGGATCCTGTCCTCCCAGCCAGAGGAAAACCCCCACTGGTGGAATGCCAACATGGTGTAAGAGGGAGCAGCGGGGTGCCTCCTGGGGGGGTCCTTCCCTGGGGAGTCTGTGGGGGGTGGTCCTCCTTGGGGAGGGTCTCTTCCTGAGGGCCTTGGCAAGCTCACTCTGTCCTCCTGTTGCAGCTTCATCCCCTACTGCTCCAGCGATGTCTGGAGTGGGGCTTCGTCCAAGTCTGAGAAGAGTGAGTCCTCTCCGTTTCCTGCCCCCAAAACCCAGGCAGGGAGGACGGGGCTTCTGTCTCATAGCTCCCTCTAATCCCCTGACGCCACGTCCCGGGGTGCCTGCCCCGAGCACCTGCTGTCGGTTGTCCATGGCTGGCTTGGCCTCTGCAGGGATCCCACTCCTGCGTGTTCCCTGGGGAGGGGCCCCCAGCTTAGCCTGGGACACCTGACCGCCTCCCTCCGTTCATCCCAGCCCCCTCCCCTGGAAGAACCTCCTCCTTCCAGCCTGGAGGCAGGAGACCTTGCTCTCTGTCCAGGCCCCCCTTGAAACCACCCTCCTCCCCCACGCAGACGAGTATGCTTTCATGGGCGCCCTCATCATCCAGGAGGTGGTCCGAGAGCTCCTGGGCAAGGGGCTGAGCGGGGCCAAGGTGCTGCTGCTGGCAGGGAGCAGGTGGGCCAGGCGGGTCAGGGCCAGAGCGTGCAGGGTGGGGCGGGAGGGGAGGGCAAGGAGGAACCCAGCCTGGGCAGGAAGCGGGAGGGTTCCGCTCCAGGGTGTGGTATAGCTGGAAGCCTCCAGAGGATGCCTCTGGGCTCTGTGGGTGCGCATGCGAGGGAAGCTTGGACTACGGGGACCAGGGCGCCCTCTCTAACGCCTGGGGTCCCTGTGAGTGGGATCGCACCTGGTCGCCGTGACCCTGCAGCGTGCGGGGGCCCAGAGGACAGCTGTAGAGGAAGGAGCCTGAGGTTGCGTATCTCGCCGTGGTTTGCAGATGAGGAAACTGAGTCAGAGAGTGAGAGAAAAGGGAAAGAGGAGTGGGAGCAAGTGGGATGGCCTGCAACTTGGCTCATTGCCATGGGCTCAGGGCCAGGGGCTCTGCCAGCCTCTCCTGTGCCTCTGGGACCCTGGAAGGCCTGTGGGTCTTCCACACGATCTGGAACGTGTGGGCAGTTCAGGACGCGCCTGTCCGCGGCCGTGGGCCTGGGGCCGGCGGGCTCTGGGGCCTCACGGGCTGCCTCCTCTGCAGCGCGGGGGGCACAGGGGTGCTGCTGAACGTGGACCGCGTGGCCGAGCAGCTGGAGGAGCTGGGCTACCCGGCCATCCAGGTGCGGGGCCTGGCGGACTCGGGCTGGTTCCTGGACAACAAGCAGTACCGCCGAACAGACTGCATCGACACTGTCACCTGTGCGCCCACGGAGGCCATACGCCGAGGCATCAGGTGCCGGCCGCCGGGGGGACGCTGCCGGGCTTGCGCGGGGCCTGTGACGGGCGGGGAGGGGGCGGCGCCGCCTGACCCGCAGCGTGTGCCCAGGTACTGGAACGGGGTGGTCCCGGAGCGCTGTCGGCACCAGTTCAAGGACGGCGAGGAGTGGAACTGCTTCTTTGGCTACAAAGTCTACCCAACGCTGCGCTGTGAGGGGCCGGCCACGGTCGGGGTGCACGCGGCAGGGTGGGGGGCCGGGAGCGTTGGTCTCGGCTGCGGCCAGCCCGGAGGCCACTGCCCCCTCCGAGGGAGCCGGGTCGCAGCCGGCCAGGTTTGCCTGCGACTGGCCTGGGCTTAGCATCGCAAGTCCACTGGGGCCCAGGCCAACCGGGACAGTTGGTCACCCTGTCCACGGTCGCGGTTGGGAACGTGCTGCCCTTGGCGGGGCCTTGGCTGTCCTCAGGTTCACGCCCGAAGGGACATGGTCACCAAGCTGTGGTCAAAGCGGAGACCCTGGGAGCCAGGCCAAGACGGGCTGGGAAGGGGAGTAACAAGGGTGCCGCAGGGGGGCTGGCGGCCAGCACTCTGAGGGGAGAGCCCAGCTGGGCTGTGAGCCCACCGGGGAAGGGGCCGGGGCCTCAGGCGCCCCGAGGTGGGGCAGAGTGCCGAGGCAAGGCCCAGCTGAGCTGTGCCCCCCAGGCCCGGTGTTTGTGGTGCAGTGGCTGTTCGATGAGGCTCAGCTGACCGTGGACAACGTGCACCTCACGGGACAGCCTGTGCAGGAGGGCCAGTGGCTGTACATCCAGAACCTGGGCCGTGAGCTGCGGAACACGCTCAAGGATGTGCCGTGAGTGTCCTGGGGACCCCTACCCCCGACTCAGCCATCTAGATACGAGGGGAACCGTGAGTGGTCTCGCAGGCGTCCAGCCGTCCAGCCGAGGGGTGTTTCCCCAGCTAAAAACAAGAGCTTTCAAACCATGGGAGGCCGTGGAGGAAACGTAACTGCATGTTTCCAGAGCAAAAGGCCGATCTGGAAAAGGCTGCAGAGTGTACGATTCCAGCTCCGTGACATTCGGGGGGGCGGGAGGCAGACGTGAGACAGTGAAACAATCAGGGATGGAGCTGGGGAGGGGGCGGTACACAGGGCAGGGAGGAGTTTTAGGACAGGGAAACTATCCAGCCCAAAAGGGTGGACGCACGTCGTCATACATGTGTACAAACGCATAGAGTGCACAGGAGCAGGGGCGAGCCGTGATGTGCGCCACGGGCTCCGGGTGACCGTCGTGTGTCCGAGCAGGTCCATCCGTGGTGACAGGGGCACCTTTGGTGGGGTGTTGACAGCGGGGGAGGCTGTGCGTGTGGCAAGGGCGTGCGCGGGAAATCCCTGCTCAGTTTTGATGTGAACCTAAAACTGCTCTAGAAATAAGGTCTATTAAATGAACAAAGCAAAATACTCACACATCCGGGTCAGCCTGCCGCCACTGCCCAGCCGGCCCTGCCTGGAGGGGTGGACTCTGAGCAGGGTCTGGAGGCAGGAAGAGACGAGCGTGAGCAGGGAGCACGTGGGCTGCTGGGGACAAGGCCTGGTCCAGAGGGCAGCTGGCTGGCTAGGCGCAGCCATGGGGGGGGATGGGAGCGAGGGACAGGAGAGGTGCCCAGGGGAGGGGGCTGGAGCTACTGTGACCTGCGGGCACGGGGGTGGGGTGGGGAAGAGGCCCAGGGGGTCGCTGCAAGCCTGCTATCTCCTCCCCAACAGGGCCAGCTTCGCCCCCGCCTGCCTCTCCCATGAGATCATCATCCGGAGGTCAGTGTCCCTCCCCATGCCTGGGATAGATGGCATCTGGGTCTCCTGCAAACACCCACGGCCCCACCCCCACCTGCTCGCCACCGCTTCCCCAGCTCTGTAGAAAGGGCTTCCTTCCAGGGCTTTCAGTGCCAATTGTACAACCAGCCACGTGGCTGAGATGGGCCCGCCTCCACCTGGTCAGGCTGCCCCGCGTGACCCCACCTGGATTTCTGTCTGCAGCCACTGGACGGATGTCCAGGTGAAGGGGACCTCGCTGCCCCGGGCGCTGCACTGCTGGGACAGAAGCCTGCATGACGGCCACAAGGCCAGCAAGGCCCCGCTGAAGGGCTGCCCCGTCCACCTGGTGGACAGCTGCCCCTGGCCCCACTGCAACCCCTCTTGCCCCACCATCCGGGACCAGTTCACCGGGCAGGAGATGAACGTGGCCCAGTTCCTCATGCACATGGGCTTCGACGTGCAGACCGTGGCGCAGCAGCAGGGCCTGGAGCCCAGTACGCTGCTGGGGATGCTGAGCAGTGGGAGCTAGGGGTCCCGCCCCGGGGAGCTGGCGCTGGGGCCGGCCACGCCACGGGCTCCGCTGCCCCTCCTAGGACGGACGGGGCCCCGGCTGGCCCCACAGCTGCCTTCACTGCCCCTCTACCACTGCCGCCGGGAGCCCAGCCGCAGCCCCCAGCCCTGCCTCCTGCCCACGCTGGGGAGTCCCAAGCACTGGGCTCCAGCCCACCAGCCCGGATGTCCCCCGAGCCCAGCCCCAGCCTCAGCCTCTCTTGGCATTTTGTATTATTTTATAAAGTGACTTTTTTATTACTTTAATTTTTTTAAAAAGGAAAATAAGAAATATATGATTAATGATATTGTTCTGTAACATATTTTTTTTAAATAATGAAAAAAAAAAGACAACAAAAGAGCCTCACCCTGCAGATGTGTTTATTTGAATGGGTAGCTTGGCCACTTGACACACCCTGCGCCCCATCCCCAGGGAAGCAGGGGTACTGGGCGCGACCCCCGGACGCACAGATCCTGTCCGTGGCCCCCACCCCACCTGTCCCGTACCAGAGTCTCCTTCCGTCCATGCGCTCAGCAAACACCAGTCATGGGCACAGCACAAGCAAGGCCCCGACACAGCGGTCACAGCCAGTGCTTCTCAATCTAGTGACATTCACACAGCGCAAAACTTCACCATCCCCAGGAAAACACTCCTTAGCCAGCTAACATTTTTTCTTTTCTTTTCTCTTTTCTTTTAAGATTTTATTTATTTATTCATGAGAGATACACAGAGAGAGAGAGAGAGAGGCAGAGACACAGGCAGAGGGAGAAGCAGGCTCCATGCGGGAAGCCCGACGTGGGACTCGATCCTGGGATTCCAGGATCACGCCCTGGGCTGAAGACAGATGCTTAACTGCTGAGCCACCCAGGCGTCCCCTAACATTTTCTTAAAAGTTTGCATTCATACCTGTTCTTACCAGGTCACCCGGGCACATGCGAAGATGTAGATTCAGGGCGAAAATCCCCCTGGGCCCCGCTCCCTCTCTCACATGTTTGGTTTTTATTTTTTATTTTTTAAAGATTTTACTTATTTATTCATGAGAGACGCAGAGAGAGATGCACGGACACAGGCAGAGGGAGAAGCAGGCTCCTTGCAGGGAGCCCGATGTGGGACTCCATCCCGGGACCCCGGGGCCACGGCCTGAGCCAAAGGCAGATGCTCAACCAAGGAGCCACCCGGGCGTCCCTCAAGTAGGTTTTATTAAAGTCTGGGAGGACAGATACAGTTGCTACGACCTGCAGAGTGTGACAGGGAGGTCTCCGCCGGGTCAGCCTGGGCTCCACACCCTGCCCCCCAGCACAGACGTCAGGAGCTGGCAGGCCTGTGCACAGAATGGGGAGCTTCTCAGAGACCCCACACCCTCACTCCCAGCAAGGTCAGGGGCCATGCCCTGGGGACATCAGAGCCACCGTGGGCCTTAGAGAGACCCAAGCAGACCCCGAGGGCGCTGATGTCATTTGCAGAGGGGTCTCCTCCCCCCCACCTGCGGCCCACTCGTCACCGTGTTGGCATCCCCAGGTGGCCCTGAGTGGAGACCTGTGGTGTCCTCCACAGGCCACTGCTCCATGTCCCCTGTGGGACCTGTGCAGTCCAAATGGCCCAGGGAAACTGAGGTCAGGGATGGGGCGGCCAAAGGCTGCAGATGAAAGCAGGTGTACACGGGAGTGCCGCTGGCTTGGGGGGCAACCCCTTCCTGGGGCCTCCCGGAGGGCCACGGACGGTGGGCTCCCGGGGAGAGAGGGGCTGGGAGGGCCCGACAGCAGAGACTTCAGGGCAAGGGGCCTGCCACGGTCACCTGGGGGGTGGAGGACTCAGGTGCTGCTGCCTGAAGACCAGCCCTGTGCAGAGAAGGGTGGTGGGTGGGGACACTGGCACCGTTAGACAGATGTCCCACCGCGCCTGAGGCGGGCCGAACGGGGTCAGCGGGCAGCTTTGCGTGTCTTGGAAGCCCGGGGTGCGTGGAGCGTTCATTATACCCGTGGGCTCGGGCGGATGGGATTTGTCCACCAAAGGAATACACGCTGTCCCCCTGTGTTCCTGACAAAGAAGGAAAGAGGCGGGACCCAGCCCGGGGCCTCGGGGTCAGTCCTTGGTGCACTTTACTGACAGACCAGTGACAAAATGAGCCCAGGACACGCAAAGACAGTGGGTGCCTAAGCCAAAGCCGTAGGACTCAGCGAGGCCGCCCCTGGGACCTGCAGACCTCTGCACGCTCAGGGCCCCGCTTTCCCAGAGATGTTGCTACTTACACCTTCCGTGTCACGTGAGTCCTACAGGAGCAAAAATGCTCAGCACGTTCTTGTAAGGGTGGGGGGGCACCTGGCTGGTGCGGTCGGCTAAGCGTCTGACTCTTGATTTCAGCGGCGTGAGTCATGATCTCAGGGGCGTGAGTTCGAGCCTGGCAACCCGCCCCTCGCTGGGCGTGGAGCCTGCTCTGGACGCTCCTCCCTCTCCCTCTGCCCCCACCGCATGCTTGTAAGCCCGAGTTCTCTCCCCCACCGTCTCTGCCCCCCTCTGTCTCTCCCCCCTCTCTGTCCCCCCCCATCTCTCCCCCCCTCTTTGTCTCTCAAAAAAAAGCCAAAAGATCCGAGTGCCGGAGCAAGATGCACACCAGCTGCTGCCCCTCCTCCCTCTGCCCTCAGAGTGGCTGTGACCTCCAGGCCCTGCCGGCTGTCCCACCCGCGCCACCAACCCCAAGGCCCCGTGCCCCTGAGAGCAGACACCACACCTGCCTTCGGCCCCCGTTGACGCCTGCGCCCAGCCCGGCCCTCAGCCTGCTTAGGGTCATCACTGAGCTCACAGCCAAGTTGTTTCCTCTCTAGAGGGCTTTCACAGACTTCCCCAGGAAGGCTAAATTCACTTAAAATTTTGTTGCCATTTCTGCACCGTGAGGAGCTAGAATCGCAGGGTTTCCGAGGGTGACACGTTAGCGGAGGCTTGAGAACAGAAGACATGGCCCAGCAGCCTTGGACCGAGCACCAGGGGACCCCAGGGTCTGGAATGTGGAGCAGGTCCCATGTCAGGCCCCAGGTCCTGACCGCCGTCCCCGCCACCAAGCAGCCGCCTCTGCTCCCGGGGTGGGGCGGCCAAGCAGACCGGGCCGAGGACGTGGAGGCTCCCATAGGCGCTGCAGGCGGGCAGAGGCCGACCGGCCCAGCCCAGGGAGTTGATGCAGCTGTGGTCTGAGATCAAGGTCCCTTGCAGACAGGGAGCCGGTAAGAACCGAGAAGGGGGAAACGGGCAGGCCCTGGGCCTGGGGCCACCACTGAGCAGACCCCCTCAGCCTCCGCCTCCTTCCTCCTTCCTCCTGGAACTCAGGGCTTGGCTCTGCCCCCAGGGCCTCGCAAAGATCTGGGGGTCCAGCACCCAGGGGGCTGCACCCAGACTCGGGCACAGCAGGCACGAAGTGGTCAGGAAAGGCAGGGCCCAGGGCAGAGTCTGCGGACCTGAGTCTGGGCCCGGCCCCCAAGCCGGCTGCTGGCCGGAGGCACCAGTGCTGAGTGGGGGGACCGTGTGGCTGCGGGGAGCCTGGTGGCTCGGGTCAGGGGTCTCAGTTTTGTCACAGATTGAGTCCCACATTGGGGTCCCTGCATGGAGCCTGCTTCTCCCTCTGCCTGTGCCTCTACTTCTCTCTGTGTCTCTCAGGAATAAATAAATAAAATCTTTAAAAATAAGTAAACAAATAGAATAGAATAAATTTTCCAACTGAAGTTATTGTATTCAGGTTCTTTTTTTTTTAATTTTTTTAAAAGCTTTTGGGGATTCCTGGGTGGCTCAGCAGTTTAACGCCTGCCTCTGGCTCAGGGGCTGATCCTGGAGACCCGGGATCGAGTCCCATGTCGGGCTCCCTGCGTGGAGCCTGCTCCTCCCTCTGCCTGTGTCTCTGCCTCTCTCTCTCTCTCTCTCTGTCTCATGAATAAATAAAATCTTTATAAAAAATTTTTAAACTTTTATTTATTTATTCATGACAGAAAGAGAGAGAGAGAGGCAGAGACACAGGCAGAGTGAGAAGCAGGCTCCATGCAGGGAGTCCGATGCGAGACTCGAACCTGGGTCTCCAGGATCAGGCCCTGGGCTGAAGGTGGTGCCAAACTGCTGAGCCACCCGGGCTGCCCTGCATTCAGGTTCTATGGGAGAATGGCCTCATCCTTAGGAGATGCTATTGGAAGTATCTACTGACAAATTGTCATATCTGCATAATTAATTAGTCCCACATTGGGCTCCCTGCATGGAGCCTGCTTCTCCCTCTGCCTGTCTCTCTCTCTCTCTGGGTCCCTCATGAATAAATAAATAGGATCACGCCCTGGGCTGAAGGCGGTGCCAAACCGCTGAGCCACCCAGGCTGCCCTTTATTATTTTTTTTGTATTATTAATTATTAATGGTGTACGGGAGAGAGAACACAAATAGGGCAGACTATTGATAATTCCTGAATCTAGGTGAAAGATATCTGAGTGTTCATTGTGTTATCTTGCAACTCTTCTGTAAATCTGAAATCTTTCTAAATGAAAAGTGAAAAGAAACATGCATAAGGATGTATAGAGAGATGCACAATGTTCATAGAGCTGACTTGGGCAATAGCGTTACAGGCAAGTTTATTAGTCTCTTCCTGTGGTGACTGGGCCTCCACATGGACAACTCTTACAGTCAGAAAATTGGTTTTCATTTTCCTTTTTTTTTTAAGATTTTATTTATTTATTCATGAGAGACACAGAGAGAGGCAGAGACCCAGGCAGAGGGAGGAGCAGGCTCCCTGCGGGGAGCCCCACGTGGGACTCGACCCCAGGACCCCGGGGTCACCCCCTGGGCCAAAGGCAGACCCTCAACCGCTGAGCCACCTGGGTGCCCTGTTTTTCATTTTCAAAATCATTTCACATATTATTAATATTTTAGCCTAAGGAGGGGAGACCCGAGTTTTTTCTAGCCATTATCATAAGTTGAGGAAAGACAAGTGAAGAGCCCCATAATGAACCCCTCATGACTGCGAAAACTCTGCACCCCAAGGTCAGTCCCGCCACCTCCAGGTCGGGGCTGGGGGGGGGGGACAGCCCAGGGGACTGAGCAGCCGGGGCCTGAGATCCCCCTCCCTCCTCAACGAGGGGGCTGGAGGCGCCGGTCTCCCCCTCCCCTCCCCTCCCCTCCCCCTGCCCCTCCCGCAGGCAATGGGGCAGCCTACCGCAGAAGACCAGACCAGACGCTGGACGCAGGTGCTTCGGAGGCGGGTGGCGCCAGCAGCCAAGGGGTTAACGGTCCTGGTGGGGGGTTGGCTGCAGGCGCAGGGGTCAGATGACCCTCCGGGCGGGGGACAGACACTCCCAGCTGCTATTCCGGGGCTCCAATCGAATGGTGAGCACCTATTTATAGTGCGGGGGGGGGGGGGGGGCGGCGCGCACCCCACAGGCGCGGGGAGGCTGCCCTGCTGCAATGTCAAGCGGCGGCGTCATCGCTACTGCAGGCGCCCAGCACCTGTCACAGCCGCCCCGGGAGGCACAGGGCTCGCGGCCCGCCGGGGAGCCGGATGGGCAGCGCCATGGAGCCCCCCGGGGGCGGGTACCTGCACCTGGGCGCCGTGGCGTCCCCCGTGGGCACGGCCCGGGCGCTGCAGCTGGCCTTCGGCTGCACGACCTTCAGCCTGGTGGCCCACCGCGGGGGCTTCGCGGGCGTGCAGGGCACCTTCTGCATGGCTGCCTGGGGCTTCTGCTTCGCCCTGTCGAGCCTCGTGGTGGCCTGTGAGTTCACCCGCCTCCACAGCTGCCTGCACCTGTCCTGGGGCAACTTCACGGCGGCCTTCGCCATGCTGGCCACGCTGCTGTCGGCCACGGCCGCGGTCATCTACCCGCTCTACTTCACCCGGCTGGAGTGCCCGCCCGAGCCCGCGGGCTGCGCAGCCAGGGACTTCCGCCTGGCGGCCAGCGTCTTCGCCGGGCTGCTCTTCCTGGCCTACGCCGCGGAGGTGGCCCTGACCCGGGCCCGGCCAGGCCAGGTGGCCAGCTACATGGCCACGGTCTCAGGGCTCCTCAAGATCGTCCAGGCCTTCGTGGCCTGCATCATCTTTGGGGCACTGGTCTACGACAGCCGCTACGGGCGCTACATGGCCACCCAGTGGTGCGTGGCCGTCTATAGCCTGTGCTTCCTGGCCACGGTGGCCGTGGTGGCCCTGAGCGTGACGGGCCACACAGGGGGCCTGGGCTGCCCCTTCGACCGTCTGGTGGTGGTGTACACCTTCCTGGCCGTGCTCCTCTACCTCAGCGCCGCTGTCATCTGGCCTGTCTTCTGTTTCGACCCCAAGTACGGTGAGCCTGGGCGGCCCCCCGACTGCCCAAGAGGCAGCTGCTCCTGGGACAGTCAGCTGGTGGTGGCCACCTTCACCTACGTCAACCTGCTCCTCTACATTGCCGACCTCGCCTACTCCCAGAGGATCCGCTTCGTGCCCACCCTGTAGCTCTGCAGGAAGCCGCTGCCCACCCGCGCTCTCCAGGGGCTGCGGCTCCGTGAGGGGACCCAGGTGAACCCAGATCCCCGGGCAGCAAGCTGGAGGGAGGCAACCAACTGAGCACTCCTGGATTTCTGGCTCAGCAGGGGGAGGAGGGGGAAGACGAGCGGATCAAGGCCCCAGAGGGACCCAGGCGAGCACCTCCCCGCCGGCAGCTCCCAGCCGCTGTCTGCCTCTCTCCTGCTGCGCACATCTCGTCTCTGTCCGTACCTCCCGTAGCTCCGTCTGTCTCTCCCCGTGTCCTGGCCCTCCCTGGCTCAGTGCTACCCACTGTAACGTGAGAAGCCTTTGAAGCAGGTGCTGTTGTGACCCACTTTATAGGTGGGGACAGCAAGGCGAGGATTTTGGAGGCAGCCTCACGTGCCCGGAGACCACATTCGGGCCGTGACCTAAGTGGAGTTGACAAGGGGACGTTTCCCAGAGGTGTGTCAGCAGGGTGCTGCTGCGGTGGGAGTCTGTGCCAGCTCAGAGAGGAGCCGGGACTTGGGACCCCAGCGTGCCCACCTCTGAGTGGCTGTAACAAGAGCAGGACTTGTGGTGTGGTCGCACAGGGCGGCCTCAGCAGGCTGGGGACAGTGCCGGGGGCCGGCAGGGGCCCGCCGCGGGTGGGCAGCCCCACGATGAGCCCAGAGTGCTGAGGGGAAGCAGGGCGCCCGCCCGGGTGAGTGAGTGCCCACCAGGCGCCACCGTCAGCCCCGCACAGCAGCTCCTGCGGTGCCCGCTGTGGGCCCCGGGGAGGCTGGCTGGCACGGGGCAGCCCTGATCGGGGAGGGCCCAGCCTGGGGCGGTCATGGGGCCGCAGAGCCTGGGCACCGAGCACCCCTCTGGTACTCACAGGCCTGTGACCTCCGAGCAAGCATCGTTCACCTGGCCGCGACCACCAGGGCCCACCGGGCTGTCACCCGCCCCGCTCTAGCCAGCCTCTCCTGCTCAAGAGCTCAGATGGGGCCACCCCAGAGCAACCTGCAGGGAAGCCCCTGAGACGGCAGTGGCCTTGAGCGGAATAAATGCCAGTGTTGACTTGCACCCCGGCTCTGGTGAGCAGTCTGTACCGAGGGGCGACGGGCAGCAGCAGCCCCTGGGCCGTCCCCCAGTGTGAGCAGAGCAAAGGCTGGCGACGGGCCCCAGGGAGGGGCGGGGGCTGCGGAAGAGCCGGGCTCCCTCAGGCCGTGGGCGGCCTCCAGGGGAAGAAGCAGGCAGTAGGCAACGTGGGCGGCAGGAGAGGAGGGTGAGGCAGAGCTTGTCTCGCCCCTTGCGGCACCCCACACTCCTGCTGGGGCACCAGGTGCATGGCCATGGCAGGGGGGCTGCTGTTCCCAGGGTGCCTGAGCCCAAGCAGCTCGAAGGCGCGGGCTCCACAGGCTCCCTGGCCCTGCGCCCCTTGAGCGGGTGCCACGCGGACCAGGGGAGCAGGGCTCACCTGGCGGGTCGGGGCGGCACGATGACACCCGTCCTTTACCTGCAGGGTGGGGGCGTTACTGGCTCCACAGCCAATCCCCAGAGGGACCAGGAGCCACAGGGGCCTGAGGTGTCCCAACGGCCCTGGCTGGCTGATGGGGAGCGGGGGCCAGGGGTACGTCTCCGGGTGACAGAGGAGCATAGGGGCCACGTCCTTCGTCGCTCACAGGGGGGCCTGGACACTAACCAGTCTTCCCTCCTTGTCTAGCTGAACTTCTGAAATGCTTATCTGTCGCCAGCTCTCCAATCTCCTCATTGTCCAGTAGCTTGGTGCCCCCAGTGGCCCGACATTTGGCAGAAGTCCTCCAGGACGCTTGTCTTGGGATGCTCCTGCTGACAGTCACTCCCTGGGTCAGAGGACTCCTTGTTTTGGAGGAAGGAGTTATTTGCTCTTATCAGTGAAAAACAGGACTTTTTAAAGAAGGGGTTCTGGCCTTTGATTATGTATCGTCAGGCAAAACTCAGCGGGGCTGCTGGGCTTGATGTGTATGGGTTTGAGTCTGGGCCACTCCCCAGACAGTCCACAGTCCCAGGACAAGTGGGGTGGGGTTGGGGGCAGGTCGGAGGGTAGGGGCCTCAGGGGGAGGCACCTGAGTCATGAGGCTTGGTGGGCATGGATCCTGGGGGTGTCAACTAGGGTAGGGCCTCCTGCTACGGCCCCTCCCCCCGAGGGTAAGGACTAAATGCTCAGATGCACCTAAGTGGGGGACACCAGGAAGTAGCCCACACTGTCACTACGCAGTGGTCTGATGGTGCTGGTGGCCACCTGCGTGTCCACAAGAGCTCACAGCCCTGCTTCTGGGGCATATCCACCAGAGGAATGCTGGATCCTGTCTGAGGGTACCTTGTTACCATTCAAGTTACAGAACTGAAAAAAATAAACCATATCCCCTGGGGGAGAATGGTTCTCCATGACTATTGCTTCTTACTTTGCCCTTAACCGTGCTGCTGACGGACCCTGGGCTGTCCTGAAACCCAAATGCAAACTCAACTCCCATGAGCCCTGAGCATGTCCACAGAGAGAAAATGACTTTTTCTCCCAGAGGTAGGGCCCAACATTTCCATGCACGCTGCAGACAAGATGTCAGGAGACATGGGGTGCTCCACGGGAGTGGGGGGCACTACGGGATCTCTCCTCTATTTACCGGTTGATCACTACCTACCCAAGCATCTGTTTGGGGAGGTTTACATGGTAACAAGCCTATGTCACTCCAGTCACTTCTGAGCCTGGGTAAAGACTTGTAGAGGGACGCCTGGAGGCCTCAGCGGCTTGGTGCCCACCTTTGACTCAGGTTAAGATTCCGGGATCCGGGATTGAGTCCCACATTGGGCTTCTGGTTAGGAGCCTGCTTCTTCCTCTGCCTGTGTCTCTGCCTCTCTCTCAAGTCTGTCTCCCTCATGAATAAATAACTAAATCTAAAACAAAACAAAACAAAAAACTTGCAGATAAAACCCCACTTGGGAAGAAGAGGGTCTGGAACTCAGAGGGGACTGAACTATGCCTCCTAGGTGCCGCCCAATTTTGAGATTCTTTTTTCTTTTGTCATGATGACTTTTTTATTTTTTTTTAATATTTTATTTATTCGTGAGAGACAGAGAGAGGCAGAGACACAGGCAGAGGGAGAAGCAGGCTCCATGCAGGAAGCCCGACGCGGGACTCGATCCAGGGTCTCCGGGATCATGCCCTGGGCCAAAGGCAGGCGCTCAACTGCTGAGCCACCCAGGTGCCCCCAATTTTGAGATTCTGAAAAGCTTAGACACCCCTCTCCAGTGTGCAAGCTTCTTGGTACAATAAACAAATTTCAAAGCGACAAAACACAGTATCAAAATGGTGCTATTTTTGAATTTTTCCATTTTGCAAACTGTTTTCAATCCTTCCCCCCCCAAAAAAAAGGGGGGGTGGAGAGGAAAGAAGGAAAAGCAAGCAAGCAAGCAAAAATCTGATAGTTTGGGCTTCTCCAAACAGGATGCCCACGTAGCAGCAAGCACCGGCCACGCGACTGAGGACACCCGCGTGCCCGTGTCCGCGTGGCCCCCCGCCAGGCCCCGCGCGGGGAGCCCCCGGCCGCAGCCCCCAGCACAGCCCCCAACGCGCGGTCGCGGGGGCGCGGACCCGGGGGCGCGGGGAGGCTGGGCGGGGGCGGCGCGGGCGGCGGGGGCGTGGCCCGGGGAGAGCGGATGATGCAACCGCCCCCCGCGGCCCCCGATTGGCCGGCGCCTGGCGGCCGCGCAGCCCATTGGCCGGGGCGGCGGGGGCGGGGCCGGGAGCCTGGGGTGCCGCGTGGCGGGCGCGGCTCCGCGGGGCCTGGGCGACCTGCGCGCGGGGACCGGTGAGTGGGGTCGGGCACAGCTGAGGTCGCGCGTGGGGGCGGCGCAGGGGAGACGCGCATTCGCGCCCCGGCTCGGGTCTGGGAGGGCCTGGGGGGGGCCCGGGCTCCGATGCGTCGCCCCCGCGGAGCTCTGACCCGCTCCGGGGGCCGGCGCGGCCGCCCGCGTGTCCTCCGTGCGGGACCCCCGGGAGCAGGTCGGGGACGGCTCCGCGGGCGGGGACGGGGGTAACTGCCCGGTCGGAGCTGGCGGGCGCCTGGGGGAAAGTTGGACGGGGCGGGGGGAGCCGGGGGGAGCCGGGGCGCGGGGCCAGGCCTGGCACTGCCCGCCCACGTCCTGCCCTGGATCCTGCCCCGGATCCTGCCCCGTCTGGTCCGCAGTTGCCCTGCAGCGCCGGTGCCGGCCTGGAGCTGTGGGCGCGCCCGCCACCATGAGCGTCGGCTTTATCGGCGCCGGCCAGCTGGCCTTTGCCTTGGCCAAGGGCTTCACCGCGGCAGGTGGGTCCCTCAGCCGGGCGGGCGGGGAAGCTGGGCGCCTGGAAGACTCGCCTTGTTTGAGTCCCGTGGGACTGGGTCCTTGTGATGTTTGAGGTGGGCGGGGGCTGGCTGTCCTGCTCTGTAGGGGGGAGGATCTCCACTTCCCTTCCTGGGAACTGGATGGGGGGCAGGCCTTGAGGAAGGGTGTTACCTGCAGGCATCGTGGCTGCCCACAAGATCATGGCCAGCTCCCCGGACATGGACCTGCCCACGGTTTCTGGCCTCAGGGTAGGTGCGGGGTGGGAGGGGCAGTCCCCGAAGGGGCTAGTCCTGTGCTGGGGAGAGCCCTGATAGCCTGGACCCTGAGACCCAAGTGTGAAGGTCCCAGGGGGAGACAGCTCGCCGCCCCCCACATGGGAGGAGGGCCCGGGCTGCAGCATCCCAGAGCCTGCCTCCTGGCCCGCTCACAGCCCCTCTTGTTCAGCTCTTGGCCTCTGGGTGACGGGTACATGGGCGGCTGGCAGGGAAGGTGTGCTGGACTGGAATGGGGCTCCCCAAATGGAACCCCCCCCCCGGGGCAGCGGGAACCAGCAAACGGGGCCTCGGGATTGGGGCCAGGTCAGACACATCCAGGCACTGAATACAGCTTCGCTGCCAGGGCTGAATTAGGGCCCAAGGTGCGAGGGTGGAGCCCTCCCAATGCCACGCACCCCTGGAGGACGGCAGCCCCCCGAGGCGGGGATGCACATCTCTTCTCTTCTTGCGGAAGGATCCCATTCCCAGAGCAGCGCTCCTTCCACTCTAGGGTGGAAGGGTGGCAGGGGGCTGTCAGCACCATACCGAGCCCCCAACCCCGGCTTGTCCAGTCTCAGCAAGCTCTGCCCTGGTCCACGTGTGGGGCTCTTAGCTTGGGGAGGATACTGGGGGGCCAGCCAGCTGCGGTGCCAGGCTGAGCCCGCGTTGTGTTCCCTGCAGAAGATGGGAGTGAACCTGACCCCCCACAACAAGGAGACCGTGCGGCACAGCGACGTGCTCTTCCTGGCCGTGAAGCCACACATCATCCCCTTTATCCTGGACGAGATTGGCGCCCACATTGAGGATCGGCACATCGTGGTGTCCTGCGCAGCTGGTGTCACCATCAGCTCCATCGAGAAGGTGGGCACTGTGGCTCCAGGCCAGGGGCACCTGTGGAGGGGACGCGAGTGTGTTCCGTACAGCGCTCAGGAGCTCTGGCTGCGAAGTGGGCCCAGCGGCCTAGCCCGTAGCGGGAAGTCAGGAAACGCTTAGCTGGGTGAGTGCGGGCACCCTCACGCCCGGAACGCTGCGCCGGGCAAGGGGCAGGACAGACACACAGCTGGTTTCTCCTCCAGAAGCTGACAGCGTTCCAGCCAGCCCCCAAAGTCATCCGCTGCATGACCAATACGCCGGTCGTGGTGCGGGAGGGGGCCACCGTGTACGCCACGGGCACCCACGCCCAGGTGGAGGACGGCAGGCTCCTGGAGCAGCTCATGGGTAGCGTGGGCTTCTGCACGGAGGTGGAGGAGGACCTGATTGATGCCGTCACGGGGCTCAGTGGCAGCGGCCCAGCCTATGTGAGGCCTGGGGATGGGCGGCGGGTGGTGGTGGTGGTGGTGGACGGCTCCAGGGCCTCCGGGCACATCCTCCGCCCTCCTCCCTGCTCTGGCTGCTGTAGGCAGAGCTGCTGGACCTGCTGGTGCCAGGAGGAGGAGGAGGAGGAAGGGCCCAGGGCGGGGCCTTAGGTGT